TCACTTTTCGACAGTAACTAGTTCTTTTTATACCCTATGTCATTGAATAGAGACAGGGCTGAATAGTCACTCTGAGCTTTTTTTTTAATTTTTTTTATCGTTTCAAAGTTAATGAGCAGTGGATCGAGCCCATAGAGTTGTAAACATTGAGTTTATTTATTTTACTCTTTATTACTCAATGGGATAGAGCCACACCGCGTGGCGTGACGGATTGGCCTCTGAGTGGCGTCAGGTTTTTTTTGTAGTTTTATAGAATTCAAAAAGTATCAAAAAAATCAGAAAATAGCAGTCATTTAATGAATATTAAATGCATGTTGCAGCGTCATTATTTCCGTTATTAGTTGCCATCGTTTTAGGCGCAGCGAGTTTCGGTCGCACCGGGATCCTAAACACAACTGACTTTGTGTCTTCCCTTTTTCTCGTGCCTTTCTACCGAACCACACTCGGCGACAGCTACAGACGCTGTCGCCCGCCAAAACGGGACTTTCCCAAACTACATAGTAAAACAGACAACAAAACAGACACACAAACAGGCTGACGCAATATCGCAATGTACTTGCGATTCTGGGGAAATACCCAAATACGCACTAACACAAACTCAATACAATTCTCACATACATTTCTAGCACACGCCGCCACGGCGCCAACATATTCAAACTACTTATGCTTCCACATGCACATGATTTTATACTACTACTTCGGCAAGATAGCTGCCTGGAATTTTCTATTCGCTGCAATAAGAGCTAATTTTGTATTAACAGCTTTTTGCACTTAAGGCCTATAGGCCTATAGGCAGTAATTTTTTGCCAATCTATTGTAGTGTGTATATGCATTAAATATCACCTTGTATTTAAATACATAAGTATGCGACACTTTGTTGCATACAATAACAAACATAAAGCCAAAAGCGCAGAGCCACTTGAGTTTATTGACTCAGGCTCATATTACGCAGTGCGGACCGCTAGTACTCTAGCAATCCCGATGCTAAGAGCAAGTTTTTTTTCGGGCTCAAGATTCTTACCACAAGGGCAGAAATCTCTGATTCCAACATTTGGTTCTTTATTTGATGCACTTTAAACTTATTTTTAAAAAAAAGTGATCATCAAGATGGGTAGATTTCAACTTTCCACGAGCGTGTACTTAGTGGAAAGGTAATATCTAAAATTTTAAGCCCAAAACATTCAACGGAAAAGGGCCAAGACCCGCTAGTATATAAAATAAAGGCAAATAATTAGCACTAGTTGCGTGAGTGGTTTATATAGCGGATTAGCTGCGCATGTGGCACGAGAGTCTTGCACCCGGCCCTCCACATCCAGCTGATTCCACTGGCAGTCCTCCGTACGGCTGCAGTTAGCGCCATATGGCACAAGCGGCTCGGGAAAGGTGTCCGTCAAGCAGGAGGTCATATTGTGATTGGGCACATAATCCAGAATACAGGCGCACTTCATAGCCTGTGGCAGGCAAATTGAAGTGCCGGGGCATTGCTTATTGTTGCTGCAGCTCAAATCTGTACACGGATGTTGGACATTAGTTTGAATGCTGGAAGGATGCTAATTTCGAAGACACTCACCCAGAAGCGCCAGGCAGTTGCCCTGGTGCTGCTCAAAGTGTTCCTTGCATACGCAGCGCTTTAGCGACATGTCGCAGACGGCATTCCGCTGACATTGGGCCGACAGCTCACGGGCTCCATCCAGAGGGATGTAGCCCAATTGTGGCTGATCTTCGGCTGAGTTTGCGTTCAGCCCACAAAATTGGAGCAGCAAAATCAGGATTATACGCATTATGAGCATATTTTTAATCGTTCACCAGACAAAGAATTATCACCACAGACAGCGGAAACACTAAGATAAGACAAAAGATACCAAAAAAATGTACAGTCATCTTCGGCTCAATGTGGGTGTATATACATACATATATATGTGTGTACGTGCGAGAATGACTGTGCTTAGCAGTTTTTAAAAATTAAATGCACTACATTCGATTGATTATAGTTATTGTAATATTAAAGTCGTTTTTATACGATTGTTAGTTATATAAATTAACCAATTCGATGGTAATATTTATAAAAAAATATAATTTTAATTATTTATCAGCACTATGTGCTTACATTGAGTTCCAGTTATTAACTGATTCTGTATTTCGCAGGGGTTCGCACATTGAGTAATAAA